GGGGGGGGGGATCAAACTCTTGATAATTTTCTATTTGAAGAATGATTCTTGGTGCCAAGTGACTTTTCTCATGACTCCCTGTATGGTTTGTGGCTCAGCGGTTAGAATCACTGTGCTTCACTTCCATTACTTGCTGTGCATTAAAATGTTTTCTTCCTTCTTGGCTAGGTTTAAGAAAGCCAACTCAGCAGGGCTTGATATAGAACAGTTACCCTTTGATTTGATTTAGATTTACGTGATTAGGACTTGCCACTCCAAATACCAAGTGGCAGACATTTTATAAGATGAGGCTTGGGTAAAAGGAGTCCATAGGTTGTTTTGACCTTCATAATGGTTGTCTTTTTTTTTTTTTCTCTCCTTTTTGGGAGATAATGTGTTTGTGTTTGTTTGTGCATGTGTCTCTGTTGAAGTAAATTGGCCTAATGCTTACCGAGAGGCTTAAATTAATAAAGTGTCCCTGTTGAAGAGAGTGCTCAGACTCATTTTGTCTTGAACTAAGATTTAGCATGAACAGGGTTGTGGTAGGTTGTTTGGGTTTTTTTGTTTGTTTGGGTTTTTTTGTTTGTTTTGTGGTTTTGTTTGTTTGGTTGGGTTTTTTTGTTTGTTTGTTTTTTTAAAATTAAGATAGAAAGTGCATCTATTTCCAGTTATTAGTATTTAACTTACAAAAGCCAGACATAATGACAACTCAACTTTTGCTGTCAGGGGGTCTAACCTAGTGACATCCATGTGGAGAAGATTGTCATGTTCAATGGTGGTAACTTATGCCTGCCCCAGGGAGGGGTCTGGGATGCAAAAAGCTTGCATTGCATCTAGTTATTTTCTGTGTATCAATGGCAGGGATTCTGCTTTCTGTAAGACTTGTAGTGTCATGGAATAAGCAAAGATAAATTGCAGATGTATTAAACATATTTGTAGTTATCCCTCTAAGCAGTTGCTCCCCCTGCAGAGAGCTGGTTAAGTTTCCTTTAGTTAGGCTGGATGAAATATCCCAGCAGGGTATTTTCTTGCATCGGCCCATGGATTTCATGCTAGCCAAAGAGGCAGATTCTGGTTGAGTCTGGCTTTCTGGCTTCCCTCTGCACCCCCTAAAATGCAGGGGTTTGTTGTAATATTAAGGTTTTGATTACAGTAAGAGTCTTGATTTGAACTCTGCATTGAATTGATTTGCTCTATAGAAATGTGGAAATTTTTTTTAGTACAATCTTAGGAAGTTGTGCCTAGAAGCTCATCTAGTTCTGCATATCTTTGGAAACCTGGAAATGATGTTCAATGTTGCTGCAGTGCTATAAATCGACTGGACAAGCTAGTGTATGATTTTTACCCCAGCAGTAATGTAAGGGGAGGATTAAGCATAAAGCTTTTCTCTAAAGCTACATCTGCTGTGAGTACTGCTTTCCATGGTGGACTTCTACAAGTCATAAATGAAATAAATCCAGAATGTTTTAATTCTGGAATAATTTTTCTTCTCCCTCCTCAGTTGTGTGTGGATTAAAAGACCTAACCTATCTAAGGTAATGCCAAGTTCATTTGGGACCACTTGGGTACATTTGATTTTTGATTTAATTTGGTTCTCTGGAAGTTCAGTGGTGTTGGAAACAGACACAGAAACTGGACACACTTACCAGACAGTTATTGCCATTTCCTCATATTTAGGGGAGCAGTACAGAAGAGAAATAAGTGTAACTGCTGCAGAAATGCACTCTGTTTTAAATTTCTTTCAGGCAAACCATAGAGGGAGTGACACACAAAACCAAAGCTGTCAAAAGCCTATTTACTGAGACAAATGTTTGCTTCTGCTGGGGTAAAAGACACAGACCATTGAGTTGTCATTTGAGGGAAGACTAAACTTTCTATAATCCACTTTATCTGAGAATTTAAATGTAGATGCTATAAATGCCGTTTAACCTACAATTACTGCTGGGAGAAGAACATGATAACCCGTGTCCTTGGTGCATTATTCATGAGGAAACTGCAGTTCTGCAACTTAGCATGACATTCACAAACAAACATACTGCCTTTAAAATGAAAACACTTTAATCAGTAAAGCAACTATGCCCTGAACTCATCAGCTTCATGCAAAAATAATTAATTTACTGTTCTGGAATCCATATTAAAATTTATGCACTGGATGCTACAGCTCATGATGAGCTTTCCTCAGTTTAGTGAGCAGCTGTTGTTGCTTAGTCATTCTGCACGTATGTGTTGGAGTTCTTTAGTGTAGTGTTAGAGAAAAGATTGCCTATCAGCCAAGAAAAGGATTATATGCCAGTAGAGTGGGGATGGACAGGAATCTGTGGTAAGGGTCACGTTGTTCCTTAGAGTTTCTGTCCACATACAGCTCAAACAGTAGAATCCAGATGATTAACACTCAGTCTGTCTGGAGCCATCCCTCTTCCAATTAAGAAACTGAAGACATATATAAAGACAGAACCAGTCTAAATAGTCTTCTGTTCTTGTCAGTGTAGCAAGCCCTTTACTGTTTTACTCTGGTCCTTTTGTTTTTGTTTTTCTTAAGTAAATTAGAGGTGGAGCTTAGACAGGAAAAATAAGGCTACCTCTTATATTCACAGTAGAACTGGATTAGTGGTTTGGTACATCTTATTTATTGTAGGGACAACAGACTGTATGATGCTCCTTACCTTATCTTACAAATTCTACCCACCTGCCTGCCTTAAACAGGCCCTTGTCTTGCCCTGCTGTTGGCAGTTGGTCTCCCCTTCTTCCCAGATGCAGTGCAGCAATATTAGACACACACAACTCTGAGGCTAGACTGTAATGCTGTTGCACCTGTGTTTTCTTAGTGGGGATCTTGAGGTAAAAAAATTTCTTATTTATTTCTCAAAAGTACTTCTCAAACTCACTGAAGTACACACTCAAATGGTTTGTTATTGGGCCTTTTGTTGGCAAAACTCACTTGAACCAATGTGATTTTGTTTAAAATTCCAAAAAATCTGTTAACAAATTGCAATCTCGCGTCTTGTTTTGAGAGTGGAGGCTGTCACCCAATTTGAAGGACACTTCCATGTTAATGTTGTTTTAATGTAAGCCATAACAAGATAAATGCATTTCTCAATGTAACAATATATCCAGCTGAAACTTGATATACTCAATCTGCTTGTTTTATAAAGTTAACTCTTCTGAACAGCAAACTATTCAGTTTGATAACTGAAAATGTAACATATTTCTTTTACTGTGTATCAAGAACAGGAAATCTGGATTCCGAGGTGTGGGATTTAACCCAGTACAGCCAATATTTAGCTGGTTACTAAATGTTTTGGTGTTGTCATTCATTCAGTCACAAACTAAATCGTTGTCATGTAAAGCAGTGTCTATCAAACAGTGAAAGCCTGGAGGGGACAGGTACATTAATATAACTGGTGTAAGGCTTAATGTAATTATGTTTTGATATAATTACTAATTTTCAAATCACTAACAGCTTCATTGTAAATCCTGGATGTCTTTGCCTGCTTTCCTCACATCATCTTATGTACTTTATGCCAGTTATACCAACTATGCTTTCTCATATCATTTTTGGTTGTTGATCTGAGTGTTAAATGTTTCTCCTACAGTTCCCCAGCAGCATATCTTCAGTCAGCGGTCTGAATGGAGTCAGACATGGATCCGTCTAGTTGCCAGGATGCAATACTAATAGTACTGAAGCTAAGCAAATGCATTGTTTGATTTTGAACTTTTAAAATAAAATATTTAATTGTTTTCCCCTTGCCACCTACCCAGGAACAGTACAGTAAATGCAAGATGTCTTTAGTCAGTATTTACCACTTCTTGATGACACTTTGTAAAAGAATATAGGGTATCTGCTCTCTTCAGGACAACCTCCAAAGCCCTGTAACTCAGCCAGGTTTTCTCATTATCGTCTCTTATCTCTGTATGTTTATGGTATCTGGGTTGACTTTGTTCTGTACTCCAAGGATTCATGTGTTGCCTCATGCCCCTTTCCTTGCTCCACTCATACCAGCTCCTTTGTTGGCACTCTGGTCTCTCTCCAGGACTTCGACTGCCTTGCTTCCCCTCTGGAAGCGTGGCCTCTCTCAGTGCCATGGCTGTTTCCTTTTGCTTGGGAGACCTTGACAGCACTGGGGGAATGGATAGGGCTGCTGTTTGGGTGGAAGCAGTTGTCATCCATTCATTTTATTTGTGTGTTGTGGCAAGTTCACTGACATTACACTGGGGACTCTGTGAGTAACCCCAGCCTCCTTTCTGGCTCCAACAAGAATCACCAGGGTTCTACTCAGGGAATCCTAATCCACTCCTTGAAGCTTTCAAATTGATGAGAGCTAGCAGATGCGTTGACACCAACCCATTACTTACACAGGTACCATGTAACTGAGCATAGGGACTTAATCTGATGAGGTTAAAAATTCATATATCAATCAGGGACAATGATGATGCAGAATTTTCTGTGCCATTTTGAACATGAGCACTGTACTTTGCAGGCACTCTGATAAAGTCACTTTTACATAGCTAATTGCCCTAAATGAAAAATTCTGTATTAAAAATTGGCTTAGCTGCAGCTAGTGTTTCTAGGTAATTAAAATGCTTCTACAACTCAACAGTTCTTAACCCAAGTTCAGGGGAGCTTATTTAGTTATTAAAATCTTAGAGATTTGTCATTCTTACAGTCTTTGGAAATAGTGCTTAAGGATTTAGCTCCTGCTGCCCTTGGTGGGAGAAGAGAAAAGCCAGTCTCGTACAAGTAGATTTGGGAGGCTGAATTGCACTGGCAAAATATCTCTTGTGCAGGACTGGACATGAGTATAAGTAGGGCATCTATTTACATTCATGAGTTTTACTCAGGTAAAGCAGTCCTAATGAGCTACATACTACAGTTTGTATATGCTGAATTTAAAGCAAAGGCCACTTCTTTGTCTTTTTATGTTTTCAGTTCAGAGATACTCAGATTCTGGACAACGAACCTGTTTGGCTCCTTGTGTTTTGGAGGTTTGCAAAAATAATTAAGTTATTGTTTCAGTCCCTGCTGTGTGTTACACACACAGGGCTGGGGTAGATAGATGCTGTTCTCTGCTGTGTGATCAGCTTTCAGTGGCTGATTATCAGCTTTAAAGACCAGTCATGTTGCATGCTTTTAAGTGCTGACCTCTGTACCAAAAGTGGTATTCCTGCCAATTGTGACCTCCTAGGGGTAATGCAGTGGCTGTAACAGCTGAGCATTCAGTCTCTCAGGAGGAGGGTGCAGTACCCTCATCTTGAAGTACTGTGTTCAGGATCCAAATTAGGTGATTTGAACATAAGTGTATTTATGAAAGAAAAAACAAATGCATCTGGATTTGAATATTGTGCCCTTTCCAGCTAACTCCAAAGAGTTTTACTTAGTCACTTAAATATCTCAACAGCGTACTTCATAGATGAAATGTACACGTGACTGGGGGAAGTGTGGACTGCAGCTTGGTCTAAGGATTCTCATCCCTGTGCTTATGCTACTGTCATGTTAAAAAAAAAGTAAGCATCTTGCCTCTTAAACCCACTTTCTTTTGTTCTTTCTCAAACAAAACTGTATACATCTGGGGTTGCTGGCAGTCTTGGAACATTCTTTGACTTCACCTGCCTCTGCAGTCTTCCAGTTCTCCTTCCTCCCCAAACATGCCGTGACACATACAGCCTTTCAGCCTTTGCTCTAGTTCTCTTTGCTACACTCTACTGACACTGGTTTTGCCATTCTTAAGGATTTTTTCCCCTGCCAGATTCTAGGCTATGTACTCAGTTCTCTTTCTTGATCTCCTGCTGGCTTCACTGGTTGGCACAGCTCCTAGATTTCTTCCCTCCTCTGCATTTTAGTGCATCTTTCAACTTCCCTCACTGTGGGGTGATTCTGGAGAGTTCATTTGCTGTCCTGTCTTTCTGCATTCAGCCTTTTCGCTAGCTGTTCTGCACTCATTAAGTGCAAATACCAGCACAACCTGATGTTTTGTGGGCCAAAAGCACAAAGTTGCATTCCAGCATGTCTCTTTCTGAGGTTTTATTTAACTTTTCATCTTTTTGTGATGTGCACTCCCACTTATCAGTGTCTTCCTGTACTCACCAATAATTCTCCTTGGATGATTTTGTACATCCACTGTCTCTTCTTTCAGATACTTCTTGAGACTTATTTCTGCAAAGATAACAAATTAAAGTTAGTCTAGGCGCAGTAGGCATGATTTTACTGTGACTGTGTAATGTTCAACTCCATGCTAGTTACCATTTGTGGCTGTAGCCTTTTCTTCTGCAGATGAAGTCCCAGTATGAAATTCACACTGCTGAAGTGATGTTTTGCATCAGCTTTTTGTGTAGGAGATTATGCAAGAGAAAAAAAAAAAAAAAAGAGAGGGATGGAAAACTGTTCTATTTCAAAAGCAAGTGGAATATTCATTAAATTTGACTGCTTCTGTTTGGGCACAAAATTTTACACTCATATGCAGATACTTCGGCAACCTTTACCTGTGTAATGATTCGAGAACCCATAGGCAGTTGTTGCTGAGGCAGACAAACTAATTTGCTTTCTAAATCTAACCTTGCAGAGCTGCATGCTTAAACGAATGTGACTTAAAACGTGGAATTATGCTAAACTATGAGTCTAAGTTCATAATATGTTTAATAGTGAGATGCATAAAAGCACATAAGAGCACATCTGTCATAATTTTAATAGTATTTCTAATCATGAGTGGAACTAAATGTGCATTTCACTATAAGGAAAGACTAGATGCGAGTTCAATATTAAATATATATCTATTATTTAGGTCATTTACAACATATTTGACGGCCTTCAAAATGTCCTCTTATCCCACTTAAAAAAACTGATACTCTTGTTGGTACCAGCTGCTCCTGAGTTGGTCATTTTTGTTGATGTGTGCTATCTCCCTTCCTAAATCACTTGGGCAACTTTCTGTGGTGTACATTCGAAGAAAATTATTTTGAACCTTAAGCAATAAGTTTCTTGGAGCGAAGAAATTTTAGCTTAGGTATTATGATTTTCTTTGGATTCTTACAGTAATCAATGGTTTTATTGAAATACATTATGGACCTATCAAGTGATGCTAATTTCTGTAAAGGGAATCAGCCTACGTTCGTTATAAGAACTTGTCTGTTTTGTTTCTTTTTAATCCCACAGATGTATTTAGTGATTTTTCCAGAGGGGACTCGTTACAATCCAGAAATACCAAAAGTCATTGCAGATAGTCAATCATTTGCTGAAAAGGAAGGTAAGCAAAAAAAGTTTGGAAATCATCTTGTGTTAATGTATGTTATATAAAATTTTTGTATAATACGAAGATGATCTTGCCTTAACTGGACTACTAAGCTTGCCTGATTTGACAGTTAAGGGTTAGAATAGCCTAAACCAGTGTTACACTTACCAGAGAGTAGCTTATATCCAAACTTTTAATGCATTTCACAGGGTGCAAGAGTTAATTCTCAAGAAGGTTCTCTTTAGATTCTGTCCATATCTGTGTATTTATGAACACTTCTTTTCTTGCTCTTTCAGGAGCACAGGAATTACCTACACTTGATCAGGGCACTGTTCTATTTTAAATTGATATTATGACTCCAATTACAATTGTTACTTGATCCAAAGAGTATTTTACATAGAGATTGTTGTACCTTAAAAGAAAGAGTCTTCCATGACTTCATTTCTAATTACTGTTGGCACTACCATGGCTCTCTGGTTTTGTTCTTCTCTCACCTTCCAGTCTCACCTTTCTGTGGTAGAACTTTAATCTGTAGTTGCTTTGAGTGTTGGTGTCACTTCTATAACCACTGATGAAGTTACTTCATCTTTGGAAAGGCTTGCCAAAAGTCGAAGGGTCACAAGCTTTTTCACTTTTCTTCTCACATCATATGCACAATACACGTAAACTTGTAAGTCCAACAGCTCAGTGAATACGTTTCCTGTTGTTTTTTTTTTCCTGTTGACCAAAAGTGAAATAATTCACTTTGAAGGTAAACAAAGAAAAACAAATAGGTCTGGTAAAGTAATTCCTGTGACATGCTGAAATGAATTCACAAGTCTGTGAATCAGCCTGTTGATATCATCAAGCCCTTATGTATTGTTAGCTCTTGTCCAAAAGGATACGTGCTTTTCTTTTTCTGCTTGGGAAGAATGGGGCTGGCTTGCGTGTAGGAGCAGGAGAGCTCCAGTCCTATCCTAGTTATTCATCGCTTCAGTTTCCTGTAGGAAATGAAAGTCAAATGTTTCATTTAGGTTGGCAGTTCTTTGAGAGTTTGGAGGGGGTGTTTGGTAGGGATTTTTTTCCTCTTTCCTTTTTTTTCAGGGAAAAGAAAGGGCTCTTGTTGTCCTTATTGTTATTTAAGTAAACCTCTTAATTATATCCCTACAGCCTGCAAAACAGTAAAACACTGTTTTTGTGCTTTCAGACCACCTGTTTGTTACTTACAGAGCTTTTCTCTCCAGTACTGGTCTGCTTTTATTTTTTTAAATTTATTCCTTTTAAAAACTCTCAAGACAAATATTTATTAAACCAAGAAGTATCTCCAATTCTAATGAAGAATCATCTTGATCTGCTTTTCCTTGCTGCTAAATTCTTTTTCTGTTGGTCACTCCTCAACTCTTTATATGTGGAGAATGAGAAGCAGACTGCATGGGAGCCTGCTGCTCTCTGAGGTGATGCAAAGACTGATACTCACTTGGATTAGAGCAGCCCTCACACAAGCATGCCAAGAAGCAGGGGTGGCTGTTAACGTGACACTGCTGGGCTGAACTCAGAATGCACAGTTGCATGCTTGTCTAAAAGGTTCTGTAGGCTTTGTACTTCATACAGATTTAGGAAAGGTAGTAATGCCCAGTAGTTCTGCCAGTCAGAGGAATGCAGAAAAACTGTAACTCACCATTTAAAATTCACACTTCTTTCGTTGTGGTCTTATAAAGAAGCCTGATAATTTAGTCTTGTCATCTTAATGTATTTGTTACAGGGCACAGTGCTTCAGTATTGGCTTTATGGACACATAGAGGAATTTTTTTGTTTGCTTTATACCTTGAAAAGTAAGCTTTAAAATTATTTTTTCCTATATTTTTGCACATTTTTATGTTGAGAAAATAGTGTAAGTAAAATATTGGGGAAAAAAGTGGTTTAATTAAGAAGAATTAAACCTCAAATAGATGTTGGCACCAGAGGCATTATACACAAATATAACCATTTTAGAGCACAAGCATAACTCATGTTTCTCATGCTCTCTGAAATACTGTTTTTGACATAAGTGTGTGTGTATGTTTTAATAGTCTTGCAGAGAGGAAGTATGAAAATGTTTTGTGGGGGTTGTGTTTACTTTTATTCTACATGGTCTGGATTCTCTTCTAGAGAAAGTTCATCAGTTTATTGGGCTGAACTTAATTTCCTGGTCTTAGTGTGACCAGCTGATGAGCTGCATCTCATTTCTTCATGCTTTTGTTAAGTAACGACTAGTTTCTGGACACAGTTACTGCCTCTTTACAATTGCTCCTAGGACAAAAAGAAAATAATATTTTTTTTTAAATATAGACTTAGGTTGATATCCAAAGGAATATTTTGGCATTGGTAGGTTCAACTATTATGTCTTTCCTCATTGAAATGAATATATATAAATAAATCTTATCTGTTTATGAATAGGATGGAAGGATATCAAACAGCAAAAGAACCTAAAAGTGCTTGAAGTCGTCCTTGAGAGAGGCAGCTTTTTAAAATACTAATAATACTTTGTGTTACAGTTTGTTCTGCCATAGGACTTGGGTTCTGCACAAAATCTTGACTTCTAGCAAGAGCAGATGGTTTTCCTCTTCTGAAACACAGGCAAATCAAACACTCAGGGTACATCCAATAGGTCTGGGTGGACCTGGATATGAGTAAGTTGAGACTGAAGGCTATAAAGCACAGAGAAACTCAGTGCAGGAGTTATTCAAAGAACAAGTTAAATTCTGTGGAGTTGAGAAAAGTAATCCAGTATTTATCTTTGCAGTATTTGCTGAGGTTTCACAGCCACAGCAAACCGTATAAGCAATGATGCCACAATATCAGATGGAAACCTGTGCCAGGTTTTCTCATTTCTGTCAGAGGCAAATGAAAACCCCCACTTCCAAGCTGATGGGGAATTGTGCCACGTAGCAGGATTTGAACCTGATACACCTAATTATCCTTTCCTGATGGAAAGCAGGTGGCTGTGTCAGATGATTCCAGCAATTGCTCCCAGGACAGGCTCTCTCTTTCTCCATGTTTCAGTATGGTTGGTTTCATATGGACTCATGTTTCTAATGGGATATCTTTTAGGATTCTCATAATCAATTTAATATTTCTTCTCTCTCTCAAAGATCTGAGAATGTGACAGCATATATTTTGTTCCTTGTCTCCTGAGCTTTTGCTTTCTGATTTCTGTTATTTGATCATATAGCCCATAGTCTTGGCCTAGAGTTTGCTTTGGTTTTCCGTTATGTGGGAGTAGTCAGCTAACGCGATTCCCATCTTCAAAGAACAAGGCAGTTGTAAGTCATTCAGTTGACTTACATATTGGTGACCCCTTTTAGGCTCCAACCTATTAGTTCAGGCATTTTAAAAGTGCAGCAGTACTTCCACACCAGTCAGTGGGCTTGAATTGCTGAGTCCAGGGAGTTACCAGATGTAGGTGGCACTCATATTTTCATAGAGATTTAACTCTAATCTGGTCATAATGTTAGAAGTGGTAGTTTTTATTTTATGTATTTATTTCAAACTGTAAATCTTTAAAGGCTAGATCTTTTTAATGGTACTGCACTACTGAACAACAAAATTTCTATAAAACCCCAAAATTTTTATTTTTTTTTAATTTTTTTTTATTTTTTAATACCAGCTTCTGGTATAAAATATAGTCCACTTACATGTTCTCAAAATTAATATGTATAGATTTTATTAGGTTTACAGCGTTTAATTTATTTGAAAATAGGAATAGTCCAAAGCCCTCTTACTCCTAATGTTATTAACTCTGAGAAGTCAGAGAGAAAGGAGTAAGAAGCTTGTTGAATTTAACCTAGGTTGCATTTGCTGAATGAAGACAAAACAGTCTTCCCTGGTGAAAGGCATTTATGGAATTTTGTATTAATGTTTGATTTCTGACAAAGGTCATTTAATCAAGCAAACATTTCAGGTATTCATTTATCTCCCTTGTTTTTATGCAGAAAAGTTGCAAGTGTAGATGTTTTTTAATTCTAACTTTATCTTGACTAGTGCCATGCTTTCTGCTAAGATGTTTGTACATGTAGGATAATACTTATCTCAAAATTACTTTTACAGGTCATGTAAAAATAGATAATTCGACTGAACTAAAATGTTTCCCTTTTAGCTCTTGACATTGGTTTTAGATTGTATTTTAAAGCAATGTAATATCCGTAAATGTTATTTGGAACTGTCTCTACGGAAAATAGCTTTGATTGATATTCTTTCCACACACTTTCATATAAGGAAGCTTGATGTAAAATTGCACAGTGAGATGTGGAAAGGAGGATATAATTTTTTTTAAAGAGTGGGGTGTGGACTTTGAGTAGTATTTAAGAGATGTACCATTAGGATGAAGAAAGGATTTCTTTTATTAAAAGTGATCCTTAGGAAATTAAATTTAGGAAAGGATGAAGCTACGTTGTGTTTATGTAGGTACCCATCACAGACAGAAGTGTACCGAAGTGTGATGTCTCCATGTTTTCCTGTAGGATATTCAGATTCTTCTTGAGCAAACTACTTGCATTTCTTGTACTTTAGTTCACAGTAACAGAAAAGGCTTTCTACAAGAGCATGCAATTTTTTAATACTATCATCAGCTGAGTCCTGTTTATGTCAGTCGATGGGATACTGGCAAACAAATGGTTGAGCTCTCCCACCATATATCATTTTGTAAGTCTGACTCAGGACTCTCGTTTCAATAAGTAAGGTTTCAGTCACTGGGGCATTTGAGAAGGCTGGTGGGAACTCAGTGCTGGGTGAGTACTTGGGACACTCCACATAACTGCAAAGCTTTCAGTGTAACATCACTATTGCACACACATACACACAAAAATGGAAGAATAAGGAGAGAAATAGCTAATTGAAAATTAAATCAATTATTTTTCACCCTGCTTTCAGTTTTTGTGTTACTGTCCAGTAACATGGGTTTATTGGGATGGAAACCTCAAACTAGTTCTGACCATGGACTTTCAGTGAGCCGTGTAACTTTTGGGGATAAATACAGTAATGCAAATTTAATACATACAGGGTATTCTTAATTTAGAGCTGTTTTTTATTGTTATAATTTTAAAATTTGATGTGTGCAGGTCAGGGATATAAATATGACTAATGCAGCCCACGTCTGAAAATGTAGATGGCCTGGAAGAAGGGAAGGGGAAGAACAATCTTTTTCTTAGAGTTGTACTCATCTATTATGTATGTAACTTCACCCTGAGTAGCTAGATAAATGATGTTTTGTTTGGTGGCTTTTGGTTTTTTTTGCATTTAGATGAAAAATTCAGTCCTATAGACGTTCATGAATTGGGCCTTTGTTACTTCTGAGACTAAAACCTTACTTTATGTTGTTCAGTTTTCTTGCAAACTTTATGAAGTAATTCTGCTGCTTCCTATAATCTAGTAAACGGATGATACTTGAAGTGCCATTGCTCACGGTGTTTCTTCAGATTTTTAGATTTTCCTGGTTTTATTAAATGTCTGTTTATAATTTAAAATTTAGCTAACATAGAAGAGCAAAGCCGTAGCATTTTAAGGTAGAGTATTACATTATTAGACATCTAGTTTGTTTCCTTTGGCATTTAAAATAAAATCTCATGACCTCAAATCCTTTGACGGAGAGTCCTAACTTAGTACTGCACAACATTAAAAACAGCTTAAGCACAGTGTGTTTTGTGAATTGGATGCAGGCAACTGGCCAAGGTAAGTATACCGTAACTACTTGGGTTTAAATACTGTTATGTTGATTTTAGCAAAGATCATCAAGTAATTGCAAGAATGTGGTTTATGTTTTTATCAAACATATTCTTTAAAATGATGTGCTGAACTCCTGCTGTCACTACATGTTTGTCACGTGCTGGAGCCTTTTTGAGTAATGGGTTATGGACTTTCTTTACTGATTTTTAGATGCATACTCATTTCATACTTGAACCTTCAAGAATTCAGTGATGTCACATGGGGTAAGGAGGACTTATTTTAGAGTTGCACTTCACAGATTGTCATTGACTGTCATCAAAATTGTCCATGAGTTTGAAAAACTCAGCACTGGGTAGACTTGGATACCTAAATTAAGTTGTCTTGAGCATTCCATTCTCACTGAAGCCTGTTTTCTTTCTTTTTTTCCCCATAGCCATAGTTTGGTTAAGGAGAAGATCAGTTGGGCAGGAAGGGATGACAATTTTTTTAGAATATGTTGGGGAATTTGGCTCAACAAGAATTGTGTTGAGCGTTATATCCACACTAATGCCATTGCTGACACAACACTAGAATATTCAGTGTTCCATTTACAGCGTAAACATTTGGAAACATAACATAATTAGCTGTTTGATATAACAGTTCACAAGCTAAGAAAACACTACCACCACATTAGGCTTCAAAATATTTACATGATCCGTGTAACATTTTGCATAGACAGTTATCGCTGTTGCCGGTAAAGCTGAGAACAATGACTTCAGAAGGAGTGCTCGTAAATAACCTTTTATCTCTGTGTTCAGATGTGAAATTTCTTAGCAAGTGTTAAGAAATCAAGGTAATAATTTATACTGTAATTTTCAACTTTAAGAATGTTAGAGCTGTTAGAAGCTAGGATTATCTTGCGGTCTTTAGTAGATATTTTTGTAATTTGAGATCAAAGTAGGCTTTCCCCAACAAGGGAGAAAAGTTCAGTACAAAATCAGGGCATAACACAATGTTTTGAATTGATTTTGCAAGCAGAAATATATCAAAGCAATACCACAGTATTTTTTTTAGGAAAAAAAGAGTGCTTTATCTGTCAGAAACGGGTAGTACCAGCGGGTGGTTCTTTAAAAATGGACTGAAGAGTAAGTCAAAGAAAAATAAGGCTAGAAAGGAATAATTGTAATTTTATTCTGGCTTTTCTTTTTGAGGAAGATACACGTCTTATAACAAAATAGTGAAAATTTTTGCATAATAGTCTTTTTTTCCTAGAAGTACTTTCAAGTGTGGAAGCTTATACTTAAGGGCCTACTGTACTTACATGCTCTTAAGTATGCTCTAGGTGGAAGTCGTCAGCTGAAGCAAACGTGGACGTGAAATACCATTGTTAAGACTTTCTGTTAAACCTGACATTCTTGTGTCCTTGACATGCCAGTCTGTGTCCTGACCTGGATGGTGGAAGGCAACAGCTGATTTCTGTGACTGTATGCATTTGTTAGTAGCCAAGTCAATTGTAATGGGTTGTTCGCAGGAAAACAGAAGATTTCCTACTTGCTGTGGGTTCTCGAGGCTGTATTTTCTCACCTCCCTGCTTAGTCGCCTCCTGGGATGGTCAGTTGAATCAGCTGGTGGGAGGGGGGGTTCCATGGCAATGCAAAGTTAGCAGAAAAGAACAGTAATGGAAACAAATGCAAGCATAAAGTGGAATGTCCCATTTTCTTTAGCAGCAAGTCAATGCAGTGGGCTGAAGCTGTCTTGAATCTATCAGCTTTCTCCCATCCTTCCCCAAAGTGAGAACCCTCCGAGTAACCGTATCTAACATCCCAGAATATTCCATTAGAATAAGGAAGCAAAAGCAGGGAAAGCTAGAATCTATAGAGGAAAATAACAGAACGTACTGAAATTTCTGCTAGCGTGGTAGCTATGGAGAAATATTGCATCTTGCTTAACCATGTGTAGTTGAAGAAAACCACCTTTTTGTTACCCTGGGGCAGTATAAGGATTCAGTATGTTGATAAAATTGTCTTGTCCTTTGGAAGTAAAGTGCTGGATAAGCATTAGGCATGCTTAAAATTACCTGTGCTTATGGCTTACCTACCAAATCTGTTTCTGATACAGAATTACAAGAGGCAATGTCATGGGTGTTTAATATTTTTCAGTCAATTTACTCTTTTTCTACTTCAGCCGGGCAAACAAACAATAAAGAGATGTGCTGTTTCATTACTTACAACCCACATCTAGAACATGACTGCTTCTAGAGCAGGAGCTAAGAAAAGGATTCTTTTGTTGAGCAGCCTTTTTGTCATTAATATCCTTTAGGACTTCTGTTTCATCTTCTACATGTGCTCAGTAGATCATATGCAGTGTGCATGTGTACTCTCTCTCAACTGAGAATTGAGATTAAAAATAGACCTTTTGTGATTTTGATTGGAGGTTTTGAAATTCCTTGGCCTGATGTTCCTTTTGTAAATGTGCTCCAGTTTACTTTTAAAAGCTGTAATTATTTCTTTTTTTCCCCTCTAGGACTTGCTATATTAAAGCATGTGTTAACACCACGTGTGAAGGCAACTCATGTAGCCATTGACACAATGAAGGACTACCTGGATGCAGTGTATGATGTGACTGTAGCTTATGAAGGTACTGTGGACCACAAAGGACAAAGAAAACTGGCACCATCTATGACAGGTGAGTTGATGTATATTAGACATGCTACAGCCTATGCTTGTTAATATACAGAACCAACTTCAGATGCATTGTAATGCTCAGAAGATAATCTCCACAGGGCTTCAACCACCTTGCCATACCTTGATAGGCCATCACTCACCAGTGACTGGGCTTTACAAGAGTGATGTTCTTGCCCTCTCCTTCTCTTCCCTGTTCCACGTAGAGAATATTTCTGTAGTCAAATTCTGCATACAGGTGCTCTTTGCAACTAAAATGAACTTGGGGCCATAGGCAGCAGGTGCCATTTACCTTCATGTTGCTTCTAGCACTGGGGTTTGGCATCACCATTGATTCTCTTTGCTGCATATGTGTGCATGTGATCTAATTGCTTTCCAAGGGAAACTATGTAGTAATAGCATTATACTGGCAATTTTTCAAATTGCTGCACATAACCCATTAACTTTACAAACACTTAGCAGCATGTTATGCAAGTGGACATCACTTGCTGCGGTATTTTAGAACACCTACAGTACCTTAAGAGAATGGGGTAATGCAGTTCTATTTTCCTCAAGTAATCTAATCAGAAAATAAGTTCTGGGCTTTGTGGTGGGGAGAACGCTGGGACAGAGAGCGTCAGGGTTTGCTGTGTTTTTGGTTATGCTTAATGGTGGGTTGATGATTTTTTGGGGTTTCTTGAAGTAGTTCATGTACCTGCACTGTCCCTGGAGGGCCACATGTCATCTTTCTTTACAGTTGTAGCTGATGTATTACTTGGCCATGTCTGTGCACAACTCTGTGTTGCTGGTTGGCTCAAAGTTGGCTTCAGAGTCTTTTGCAGTACTGATACCAAGTGTATAAGAAAGCCACAGCAGAGCTGTTTCACAGAGCTGTTAAGACTTTGGGCAGGGGATCAGTGTTGCCTGAGAGACCTGAAGGGAGCTTCTTAGCTCCCTACTCCTCAGCTGGCCCAGTGTCACTGGGACTTGTTTCTTCTGCTGCTAAAAATAATTCATAGTGTGGCTGTTGTCATGTCACTTCAGTAGCAGGTGTAACTCCTTGAGGTGGTGTAAAGTTCACATTAACTCCTTCCAGGTGTTAGCTACTTAAAAGTTCTGGGATTATGTATTTTTGGATTTACACCCTGTTTAAAATTCCTCTGGATAGGCGAGCAAAAACCTGTTAATCCAATGGTTTTAGGATGATTTTTTTTTTCCTGTATATTTTTCCCATTTTTTATATATTTTTACTGGCTGAATATCAAAAGTTTGTTTTAGGATTTAACATTTCATATTTATCATTTGAACTTGGTTTTGCAGATTTTATTATGTAAAATTTTTGCTGTTTTACTTTTTTTTTAAATACCATATGAACTTCTTATAGACTCTTTTGAAGATCAAGCAACCTCTTGTCCTGTCACCTAACCCTTTTCAAGACACCCCCCCCCCCTTAGGGCAAACAGGATTGTTTCCCCTTCCGTGCAGCATATCTTGTTTCATGACTTAATTATTAGGCAGTTTCAAGCATTCTGATGCTGGACTTCTCACTGGCTGATGGTTAATTACCCTATTAAAATGTCATTACCTAATGATAAGATGGCAAATGCTCAAATTCCTTATAAGACCTCTTCACCTATTGAACCATCCATTTTGCATTGAAGCATGATATCATTGTGGAAGGGGAACCAACAAACTGAATTCCCCTGTTGGCTGCGTCATGTGTCCAATGACAAGTGAGTAATCAGATGGTTTGGGGTGGTTACTTGTTAACAAGACATTTCAGTCTTGTGGAGACTCCACAGCAGGCAGTCCAGGAGAAGGGTTTCAGCCACCTTTCCTGCTGGGGCTGAGGAAATTACTATCTCAGCCCTGGGTAGAACTAAAGGCAGTAACACAGAATGAAGTGCAGCCAACCAGTTGTTACAGAGCAGATAAATTAAATATCCATCCAGGGCATTCTACACTATTGCAGCAGTCAAATGTATTCCATATAATATAAATTATGTAGATTAAGGACACTTTGTAAATCACAGTGTGGAACAGAGTTGTCAGTCTTTTAGGCCCTCAGGGCACAAAGAGAGGGGAAAAAAAAAACCAACACAATTTCTATTCTAGGAGGTCAAGATTATTTCACCATTTGTTATGCAGAAGTCCAACAATTGGTCTGTGCAGCAATATAATATAACAGGAATAGAGTTGCATGTTATATATTTGAGATTTTTTTAGCATTGCTTTTTTACACTACTAGAATGAGTTATTAGATGTCCTTTTCTTGTGTACATTTCATATGAACATCTCCCATTTGTGTCAGTGCTGAAGGAGAATTTAGTTTTTCATTCGCATTGGAATAGCAGTGCAATCCTGGTAATTTTTAAAAGATAAGGTTGACATGTCTTTTTCAATCTAGCAACTGATGGAAATTTATTGTATGGAAAACGTACTTCTGATAAACACAACTTTACTTGAGGTCTGTATTTCCCATAGTATGACATTTCCCATGTGAATGAAATCTGAATGCCACACACATACAACATGTTTCTTCAAATGCATTTTACTTTCAGTTCTGTAAATCTGAATTCCTCAGAGGAGCCTGTGTCACTTCTGGAAAAACCCATACTTACCCAGGGATATGATCAGCTCTTGGCTGTTGTCTCCAGTACTAAGCAGAGCAGGTTAAAAGTGATTTTAGTATTTTTGTAACTCTGAGTAGCACTACTATTCTTTATCTGAGAAATTTTGTTAGTAAAAAGTAAATGGGAGAAAAAATCTGAAGAAAAAATGAACTATGTTTAAATTTTTTTTAATATGGAGCTTTTAGTGTAAATAGCCTTTCTTAGCAAAACTGTCTTCATTTTTTTTCAGTCCAGCAACCTTAAGTAGCACAAAGGTGATTTGCTTAACAGGATTAAAACAAAAGGTAGTATAAAAACAACTGTAAAGTAGACATTTCACCATCCTTTCTTCAGCAGTGCTTTGAGAACAACAGAGGACACCAGGCACACCTGGTAGAATCGTACCTTTTTACAGCAGGCAAATTATTATAGTATATCCTTTCAAATGTGTTGAACTTTTCAACACTATTTATGCATTTTAATGTTTTGTTGGCACTTTCTAGCTGCAAGTTGTTTTAGAAGATACCAAATGTTATTAGTCTTAAGCAGGGACTAAGATTAGATTAGCTTTCGATAGGGGTGTTGCTTTCTGCTATTGCTTCACACCCAGTTGTGACCAATGGATGCAATTTATTGCCTACCATTTATTCATTAGTCATTCCTTTTTATTCCAACAAGTTTGAATCTTGGTACATTTCCAGTGGAAGGTTATCCTGCAAATGAGAGCCTTTCCAAAGAACAGCAGTTTCCCACAGATTTCCCCCCTCTCAATGCTAGAGATGGTTTGTCCAGATCATTAACGAATGAATGTGATCATCCTGCTTCTAGAGGACCATGCTGCTAGGCAGGATTTATTTGTGGTCATTAGAATAAGACGCAAATAATCATATGGGCGTTGCAGTGCAGCTGAAGTACATCTCAGGTCCTGAATTCTGGAAGAACTATTTAGAAGGGAAAAGGAGAGGGAGAAACTCCTGTGCTGAATTTGTTGATGTTGTTTTACTATATTGTCATTAAATAAAAAGTAGAAATAAGCTTGGGAAGAAAGAATGAGAGCCTAGTTTTACCCCTTCTGAATGAACATTCCCATCCAGCTTTGCCTGGTGTTAAAGGGCAGGTCTCATGGGATGTGGGAACTGTTGTCATTCTTGCACCTGAATGAGCATTGTATACACATCTATATCTTTATTATTTTGCCTGAAGGCTTTAACATAACCAGCTGGTATTTTAAAGAGTGTGTGAAATAGCAGCATGTGACAATGATAAACACTGAATAAAAATAGCAAGTACATGTAGACCCTGTCTTAAAGAAGTTAGAGGAATTCCTGAGGACTGTTGACTCGGCTGTGTATCAATTCCAGAACAAACACTGTGAAAGCATGTGTATGTGTATGTATATGTGTGGCTTTCTGAAAATTTGTACATCACTTTGATGGGTGTAACTGAGGAGGTCAAACTAGCCTGACTTCTATAGGGGAAACCACACTTTTCCAAACACTTGCACTTTCATTCACACACAGTTGGACAGTGAAGTACAGGACTATAGAGAAGAAACTGGAGCAATAGAAACCAGTCTTCATCTGCACTGAGACCCAAAGTTTGATCACATCCATTGTCTTTAAAGGTCCAAATAATGGTAACAAGCATGTGATTATAGATATGTTCGAAGAATTAAAAAATACATTAACAAACTGATAACAGTAACAGGAATGTAAAACAGTCCAAAGTAAGATTTATAGTGGTGAAGCAGCTAATAATCTGTTCAGTTCTCTACTACCTGTCATATTGTTATTGCATGGAAGAATATTGAAAAGTACATGGCAGTTATTTTAGAGCAACTATAATTTCCTGCTAAAAGTAGTTTGAGTAGCATGAAAGCAAATCTGTTAATTTGTGGATAACTTATTTGAAATGACATTTTGAACAGAGATATGGACATAAGCATCAGTATTCTGAAGATAGGGATGATCTGGGTAAACAAAAAGTATTTTCATACCGTTAACAGTTAAACATTGTGCTTCTGCTCAAAAATACCATTTCACTGAAGGGCAGCATCACTTTATGGGGAACGTACTCAGCCCTTCCTGTAGTTACACAGTTCTTCATGGAACCCCAAAAACTGAACGAAGTGAAGATCAGTCTGAGCATGAGTAGCATTTCTGTTTATGTCCTTGTTTTGTGATAGGTAAAAAAATTACTATTTGCAGTCTTTGTAGCCCAGTTTCTTGTCTCAAACAACAACCGAACTTGGATGCCTGAGGAGGAGAGTAAGAATAAGGCAAACATAAATGATTCCTTCCTTTTCCAAAATCACAAAGACCTGTGGGTGCTGTGTCAGTGTTGATAGCACTCCCTCAGTGGGGGTAATAATCCCCCCCCAACATCCCTTTGAGCCCAGAGTGTGTGTTCCCTC